TTAATGAGACCTCAGATACCTCGGCTCAATCACTTTATTGATTAGCACTAAAACAGCATAATACAGAAAGGTCAGACGTTACTAGTGTAGAGAACAGTCTTTCAGTGACTGTAGTTTACGTATTTCTTGTGTTGATAATCAACCAATAATTAATAAATGACTAGCTAATAATGGATAGGAATTTTAATTGTGATTATATATTTAATGAATAGCCTTCTCTTAAATTTAGATTTGGTTAACAAGTCAGCTTTCAATGAATTTATTAAACAGTCAAGACAGCACATACAATTACTCACAACTGTAGAAGGCCTTCTCTGTAGTTTCAGACAGTCTGGATCCTGTCTGCCAATGGTCTTACTTATGATTTCTTGTGGTAATTATACTCTGGTAACTCTCTTTAGTTCAACATTTCAACCCTTATCAATTTCCTCTTTTTGGTGTATACTTCTCCATATCTTAAGCCTTGTCTACACTACGGTGGTAAGTCGACCTAAATTACACAACTCCAATAACGTAGATGGAGTCGATGTAGCTCAGGTCGATTTACTGCGGTGTCTACACCGCACTGCATCAACGGGAGATGCCCTCCCATCAACTTACTTTACACTTCTCATTCCAGTGGAGTACCGGAATTGACGGGAGAGCAATCTGCAGTTGATTTAGTGGGTCTTAACTAGACCCACTAAATCAATGCCCAGTGCATCGACTGCAGCAGCATCGATCCCCGGTAAGTGTATACATGCCCTTACTTCAGTTCCCTCAGACTCTTACTTCAGTTCCCTTTTCCTGGTAATTTTTCAACTGTTTCAAAACCTATTGGTTATTCATTGTTTATGGCCTTTTTTGGCCAATTTTATGCATTACATATCTTGCGAATATGTTGCACTTAGTACATTGCAAAAATATATTGCATAACATAAAATGTGTCATGGATTACTGCATTGTAAAATTCCATTCCTTGCTAGATAGCTTTTTCTTAATTGCAAAGTATCATGGGAATCTTGTCCCAAGGCAAGCCGTAAAATCTTTCCTGACCTATCTTAAAGTGTCAACACCTGTCTACTCCAATTTGCTTATCCCGACACATATACCCCAATTGTTTACAACCTAGTAGTTCCTTGTTCGTTGGCAACCCACTATTAACCATATGCCTTTGAAAGTGAGCTGTATCTTTAGCCAATAGCATTATAGCCAGTTAGTACATGGTAGAAAGCTGCTGTGAGGGTAGGGCAAGGCTGACTTACTCCTGTTCACCTGTCACCTTTAAAATTTCTCTTGCTAAGGGCTTGTCTACACATGGAATTAAACTGGCATAAAATATACCAGTATAATTATACCTCTGTAACTCCCCATGTTGACACACTTATTCACAGGAAGTTATGCCACTATAACCGTACTGGCAAAATTATACCAGTACAACTTCCAGAGTAGATAAATTTAAAAAAAAAAATACAGTTGCCTCAGTACCAAATACAGAGGTAAAATAACTTCTCTGATCCTACTCGAGATTCCCATTTATCCATCTCAGGATTGCATGAGCTCTTTTGGAGACCGCATCGCACTGGGAGCTCATATTCAGCTGATTATCCACCACAAACCCGAAATCTTTTCCAGAGTCCCAGCGTCCCAGGATAGAATCCCCCATCCTGTAAGTATGGTCTACATGTTTTGTCCTAGATGTAGACGTTTAGCCACATTAAAATGCAGACTGTTTTCTTTTGCCCAGTTTGCAAAGTGATCCAGTTCACGGTGAATCAGTGACCAGTCCTCTTCATTGATTTACCACCCCCCGGATTAGAGTGTCATCTGCAGACTTGATCAGTGATCATTTTAGGTTTTTTTCCAGGTCATTGATAAAAATGATACATAGCAGCAGATCAAGAACCGATCTCTGCAGGACCCCACTAGAAACACACCTGTTCAATGAGGATTCCCTGTTTACAGTTACAGATTGAGACATCTCAGTTCGCCAGGTTTTAATCCATTTGTAGAGCGCCATGTTAAAATACCCGTGTCTTCGCAATGTGTGGAGGATGCCATTTTGTTCTACAAAATGGCATCCTCCCTGTGTATTCAGGGGCCGGGTGGAATCGTCCCACTGGCACAGCCAGTCAGGAAGTCATATTCAAGGCTCACATGGGAATGCAATCCATGCGTTGCATCCATTGATGGCATGCCGCTGCTCAGCTTCCAAAATTCAACTCCACTCCCTTGAAATTCCCACTAACCATCCCCAAAACCCATTGAAAGATCAGTTCCTCTCTTCATCAGCTTTGTCCCCCTCCCATCATCATAAATAAGGCGATACTACCCACCCAGCCTCCTTAAGCCTTGCATTTTAGAATACATACGGATGGAGAAGTGTCTCACCAGAATAAAAAGAAAATACCACTCCACTGTTTTCTACCATTGCAATTATAGATCTGTTTAATCTGAAGCTACATTTGCTGTATGGGGTTTCTTTTTCAAGTGCAGTTTTGCCAAGTGTTGAACAAGGTTTGATTTGTGATTGAAGCCTTTCCCACATTCCGTACACGTGAGAGTCCTCCCTTCCCGGTGCGTTAACTGATGCTGGGAAAGGGAGAACTTCTGACGAAAGCTTTTCTCACACTGGGTGCATTTATAGGGCCGCTCCCCAGTGTGGGTCCTCATGTGTTTATGTAGGGTTTCTTTCCGCCCGAAGCCTTGCCCGCATTCGGTGCATTTAAAAGGTTTAGCTCCCGTGTGGGTTTTACGGTGAGTACAAAGGACCCCTTTCAGTCTGAAGCTTTTGTCACAGTCAGGACACTGATAGGCTCTCTCCCCTGTGTGGATTGTCTGATGTGAAGCAAGGTGCAAGTACTCCCTGAATTTTTTCCCACAGTCAGGGCAGCTGTAGTTTTTCTCCTCTTTGTGGATCCTTTCGTGTCTGCTGAGTGACGATCTGCAGTTAAAGCTCTTTCCGCAGTCGGCGCATACATGGGATTTCTCTCCCGTGTGTTTTTTCTGATGCCATCGGAGGTGCGAGTTGTGGCAATAGCTTTTCCCGCACTCAGCACAGCTGTAACGTCGCTCTTTGGGACGGACTTTCTGATGCACTGCTGAGTTGCTACTGAAGCTTTTCTGGTCACTACTTGTACTCGGTTGTGCTCCCCTATTGGTGCTCTGGGGGCCAATGGTGCAGTTCAGTTTCTTGGAAACTTTTTTATGTTGCACAGATATGCTGCCGCTCTCCCCGGTAGGGCTCCCGTGCTGCCTTCGTGCAGCTCCCTCACTTCCACAGGCTTCTTCCCACTCAAGACTCTGGGGTCTTGCCAACAACATCCTGTCCCGCTCTGCTCTCACAAGCCCTTCCTTCTCTCTCACCATCCCATCGTTAAACCCTCTAGATACCCCTCCTGAATGGATTCTCTGATGCTGAGTAAGTCTCCCTCTCAGGATAAAGAGCTGGCCACAGTCTGGACACTTATGGGGTCTCTCTGACTTGTGGACTGTGTAACAATGAAGAACAAGGCTTGTCTTGAGCCTGAAGCTTTCCCCACATTCGTTACATGTATAAGGTTGCTCCTCTGGGTGAATTCTCAGATGTAGCTGAAGGTTTTCTTGTCGAGCGAAGCCTTTGCCACACTCATAACACTTGTAGACACTTTTTTCTGCACCAGTTTGCTGACGGTGCTGAATAAGGAGCGAACTGTTACTGACTCTTTCCCCCAGTTCATTGACAGTATTTGGTGTCTCCCCCATATGGGTTACCGGGTGGGCACTGGCGTCCTTGGATTTCCTCAAACCTCTTCTCTTGTGAGTGGATTTACTCCTGCCTGGAGGGTCTCTCCTCTGCCATCCCACCCTGCCATGACTCTCACTGGCATCTGCCACGTCAGGGCACTGCGGTCTCCCTAAGAACATCCTGTGCATCTTCACTCCCACAGCCCCTTCCTGCTGGGGACTCTCCTCATTTTCACTTGCTGTCCTGGTACCTGTTAGAAGAGAGAATCCAGATGGGATTCACTGCATGTGCTGGGGATGGAGGGGGCAGTAAAGGAATTTGTCACTGATAAAGAGAACCAGATAGGTAGGAAGTAAATTCCCCCAAATCTTTCCACAGAAGGGAAAAGAGGGGCCAGTTCTGCCTCAAAATCCCATCTGAGCCTTAAGGCAAAGGCTTCTGCCAGGGATCAGGCAGAAGCCAGGAGTGAGACCTGCCATGAGGACAGGGCACAACAATGAGTCAGATGAGATGGGACAGAACAGGGGGGAGGTCTCAGTGGGTTTGCTGGGATCCCAGCTTTTCCCCTCAGGCCCAGATGGTTTCTCAGTTGGTGTCATTCATTCTTCACCTGTCGTAGTACCTCTTGGGATTTCCCTGTCCTCGGAGCCCTGGAGATCTGGGAACCACGGCTCTTCCCCTCGCTCTATCTGGGACAGCACATCTGGTTTAGCGATCGGAAATCCTGCTCATCGGAAAGAGGTACATGCATCACAACGTGTCAAGTATTTGTCGATCACTTAATTACAAAGAACAGCAAAGAAAATCTTGGAACGAAGGGGAAAGACACAATCCATATAGGCTTCAGTATCCCCTTTTGGCAAGCAGACTGTCTGGTGGGAAATGGGCTGTGTTCCTTACAGGAGATTTAGGCCATGTCTACACTACGGGGACTATAACAACTGCTCACCCAACGAGAGGAGAGTCTCATAATTCTCCTGCATGACATCTCTGTAGAGTTCCTTCTGCTTTTCATCTAAAAGAGCCCATTCATCTTCAGAGAAGTACACGGCCACCTCCTCAAACGTCACTGGCATCTGAAATGACATGGGTCCCCCACTTAGCACCTGCCTGCTCTGGCCACAATCCCACCAATCAGACACAAGCTGAGCAGCAAAGGGCAAAACCATCACAGTCAACGCAGCATTATGGGGGGGAGGAATCCCATTTCCCACTATCCCAAACTCCTCCACACAGCAAGAGATGCCAGACTCAGCCTGCCCTCAAAGCTCCCCATTCCTCCAGAACTCAGCCCCAACTCAGGCCACTGAAGCAAGCACCGTTTCACAACTCACCAAAAAGCCAAACCTACAGAGCGAGGCCACCATATCCTGGTCTCCTTCATTCCCCTTATCATAAGGAACAAACAAATAAGGCGCAGGAAGATCTAAAGGATGACAAAGATACCGTTAGAAGGACCCACACAGACACATGCTCCTGGACCTCACAGCTCTACTAGGAACAGGGATTCACCCAGCCTCCATGTGCCACTAGACAACCAAATGCTGTTCCGATGATTTCATGCAGGCTGCCTTGGGGACTCCCCTCCCTGCTGTGCTATCCATGCTCCCCAACA